AGTTTCAGCAGCGGCTGAATCTGGACGCCAGTTCCGACTTACATACAGATTCAACTTAAGAACAAACCTACAGTCCCTATCTTGTACGTAACCCGGGGACTGCCTGTACAGGAGAACTAACAGCAACAGACACAATTTTCTACTCTCCGGGTCCTAGTGGCGCCCCCCCCCCCCTACAGTCTGGCACCTGAGGCGGCCGCCTCAGGTCACCTCATGGTAAGGCCCATCCTGACTCCTCTTGCACGGAGGTTCACAGCGCAACCCTTGCTCAGCCCAGCTTCAAGGAAGTCCCGATCCCCAAACCAGCATTGGCTTGTCCTACAATTCACCAGGCACCCACCTCCCAGACCACAGGAGCGGCGCCCCCCCCCCCCTACAGTCTGGCACCTGAGGCGGCCGCCTCAGGTCACCTCATGGTAAGGCCCATCCTGACTCCTCTTGCACGGAGGTTCACAGCGCAACCCTTGCTCAGCCCAGCTTCAAGGAAGTCCCGATCCCCAAACCAGCATTGGCTTGTCCTACAATTCACCAGGCACCCACCTCCCAGACCACAGGAGCCAGGCAGTTTTGCTTTTCCCAGGCCGTTGTACGTGCAGACGGCCAGACTGGGTCAGGCCCATGGTCCACCTAGCAGTGTCCTGTCTCGACTGTGGCCAGTTCCAGGCCCTGAGGGAACAGACAGAACAGGACAGTTACCAAGTGACGCACCCCAGTGAGGAACCCCAGAGCCTGGGGCTGCCTCCCTGGCCACATTGGCCATTAGCCCTGGATGGATCCATCCTCCGTGAACTTCTCTAATCCTCTTTGGAATCCAGTCATACTTTCGGCCTTCACGGCGTCCTCTGGCAAGGAGTTCCACAGGTCGACCGTGCGCTGCGTGAAGCAGCACTTCCTTCTGCCGCTGCCTAGTCATTCCAGCTCTCGGGTCACGGGAAGGGGGACATTTACGTCCTCCTTCGCTTTCTCCACGCCAGTCCTGAGTTCATAGACCCGGTGTCTCGTTTGCAAGTCCCAGCCTCATTAATCTCTCCTTGTATGGATGCTCTCCCATGCCCCTCAGCAGTCTCGTTGCCCTTCTCTGCACCTTTCCCACTCTAAGGCATCTTTTTGGGGCAACACAAAAACCCGGGGGGTGTTTCCTGGTGTTTCTCATTCTCCCCAGCGGGCAGACCCATCCTTAGCCCTGCGGCTGGTCCGGCTTCTTGGGCGGGTGAGGAGGTTGGTTTGGCCCCCATCTCGACCTGGGATTGAGGCATGCCAAAGGACAGCTTAGATGCAGTGGTCCCCAATCTTTTGGGGCTGCCGGGCATTCAGGGGCGGGGCCGCTCATGCGCCCGGGGGTGGGGCTGCTTATGCGTCGCGTGCCCGGGGGCGGGGGCACAAAATGGCTTGGGCCAGCCCTGGTCTCTCGGCGGGCACACGTAAATGCCCCGGCGGGCGCCATGGTGCCCACAGGCACCGCGTTGGGGACCACTGGCTTAGAGTCCTCTTCACCCTCCATTCAGCAGTGCAGAGGACAAACGGGGCCGCGGTTATCCGGCCTGCGAGGAAGCTGGCGGTGTCAGTGGGGAGGAGGCTGCAGAAAGGATGATGGTGTCTGTCTAGTTCATGCCGCCCGTCTCAGGCGCATTGTCCGTGCTGCAGGAAAAAACTGGTGCCCTGTCTGCCAAAGATGGCCCAGGCTGACTGGGCATGGAGACTAACCTGCTCTCTCGGTGCCGGGGCGGCATGAGGATGCTTGCAGGGCCCGGGACCTGTTCAGAGGCCGGCCACGCCCCTGGCCACGAGGCTGCCCCATTTCACCAGCATTAGCACGCCACCACGACAGGCAGGCCCAGCGTCCGTGCTCAGGGCCCAGTCACAAAGATCAAGGGAAGGGGAAAGGCAGAAATGAGGCCAGCCCGGAAAGCTTCAAACAGGCTGGGCCAAAATTTCAACTCAGCCTAGAAATTTGCACTCGCCACCTTGCATGGCCAAGCCTTTGCATTGGCATGTGTATAGCACTGGCACGTGCACGTGGGTCATTTGCGTGTGCATGTGAGTCATTTGCGTGTGCATGTGAGTCATTTGCGTGTGCATGTGAGTCATTTGCGTGTGCATGTGAGTCATTTGCGTGTGCATGTGAGTCATTTGCGTGTGCATGTGAGTCATTTGCGTGTGCATGTGAGTCATTTGCACGTACACATGGGTCATTTGCGTGTGCATGTGAGTCATTTGCACGTACACATGGGTCATTTGCACGTGCATGTGAGTCATTTGCACGTACACGTGGGTCATTTGCACGTGCATGTGGGTCATTTGCGCATGCAAATCCAAGGTTTTAAGTGCACATGTAAAATTACAGGGGCAAACTTAGGGCCCATGTTTGAACCTGTGACCTGAACCCAGCAGGTTCCCCTGGGGGTCTACAAGGAACCAGCTGTTCTCTACCCATTCCCAGGATTCTTTGCTTTTATTGTATATCCTCATTCCTACCCTTGGTTGCTCCCGACAACTGCTTCCACCCTGCAGCATCACCAGGGGGATAACAACCGAGAACGTCTCCATTGTTTGGCCTTTTAATCTCCAGGATCTTGGGCCCTGCCAGGTTGCATGACAGCCAGGTCCGTGGCTAATCCCCCTTCCACTCCCTGCCGTGCCCCTTGGCGTCACGCTGCCCTCCGTTTGGGGCGGGTGGAGGATTGCTGCCTGCACGCAGAGCCCAGCCAGAATTGCACACAGGGGCGTGTGGAGAAGTCAGATCTAAGGCCCGATTCTCCATACACCCCAGCAGTCAATCCATCAGTCCCCTGTCCCTTCCCCAAGCCTCTCTGGAGCAGGTTAGAGCCAGGCCCCACATGGTTAACAGCTCTGGGAGCAGCCCTGCCTCCCTGTGATTGGTTAGGCAGCCTCCGGCTCTGCCTGTTATTTCTCCCTGCTGTTGTGCTGGAAGGTGGCAGTGTGGGGAACAGCCAGCCAGGGCCGCCAGCTGTTAGGCGCCTGGGGACCAGGACGAGGGGGTGTGCGCCCTGCAGCAGCCGCCATGGGGGGCGGATTCAGGGCCTCGTGGATTTTCCCCTTGGTCTTGGCTGGGTTCATTCAGCCTAACCAGGGACAGGAGAAACAGAAGGTAAGGGGGAAATCCCACCCCGCCAGAGATCGGGGTGGTGTGCACGCAGGACTGGTGCTTTGGGGCCCCAGAAGGAGCCATGCCCCATGGGGCATCCTGGGGTCGGGAGGGCTTCCTTTATCCCCCCTTCAGGGGGTCTCTCCCCTACGCTTATGGCAGAGAGGGGCTCACATTGGATCTGGATTTCAACACCCCCGAGTTCTGGCGTGTGGGCAGAGGGAAGAGGGCTTGGGGTGAACCCCCCCCCCCAAGAAGGGGCTGTTTGCAGAATATGGATCAGAGTCCCCCTTGGAATGGGGGTTTGGCTCTTGGGGCTCAGTCTGGGCCAGAGCCCGGTTCTCAGCAGGCGATCGAGGGGATGGCGTTGATTTGCTGGGGGGAGAAAGGGTTCCCTTCTTCCTTCTCCCGGCTGATTCCCTCTCCCCCTTCTGCCTCACGGGGGTTCACGGGGGGGGGCACAGATGCTGCCTTTCCTTCTCCCTGCACCCCACCTCCGACTGGGGCAGACCTCCCATTTCAGCTCCCTGGGCCACGCTTCCTTCGGGAGGCGCAGGGCTGCTTGTGAGCCCCGGGAAGGAGCCGGGCGGCCTGGGCCCGAAGGGGAAGACAGCGATTCAGGGTCCCTGTCCCTGTTGCTTTAGCGAGCAAGGATCCTTGCTTAGAGACACGGTTCGAGCCCCGGCCTCGTGTCAGTTTGGTGGCTCCCGGTTTGGTCTCTGACAGGCCAGCATTGCAGCGGCCACGCCGCTCGTGTGACTGGCCAGCTCTGCCCGGGGCGCAGAGACTAGTCCGGCGGGAGCGAGGCGGAGCCGGGAGGCTGGAAGGTGCGGTGATTCGGGCGCTAGCCTAGGACTTACTGTGCAATTGCAGGGCTCCGCAGGGAAGGTAGGCTGGATGCTTGTCTCCCGGAGCAGGGCGTATGGAAGAGCTGAGTGCTGCGTATTTCCTGGCCTGCATCACCCGCCCATCGGCAGGGAAGTCACTGCGATGGCACAAGCGGGGGGGGGGGGGTGGGCAGGAGAGGCTGGCATCCTGCCCTGAATCAGAGGAGCTGGGTGGAAACGGGGAAAGCCACAAACCTCCTGGTCTGTTACCTGGTTTTGTCCATGCGTAAGGCCGACAGGAGGACCCGAACCTGGGACCTCTGGAGGTTAGTGTGTGAGCCTCTATTGCAGGAACTAAAAGCCAGCCAGCTCTCAGCTAAGGCTGCAGGGCAGACTCAGTCTCTCTCTCTTTGTAAGTGGTCTCAGTGCCACTCCATGGAACAGTGCACCACACCCAGCAAGTGTGTGGCTCACACGCGGGCACACTTGTGGGTGGAGGCTGCCTTGCCTTCCTGCTGGTAAATGGCAGGTGGAAATCCTTCTAGATGCCCCAGGAAGATGCAAGGGCCGCAGGGCAGTGACATGGGGCAGATGCATGCCAGTCTGCATGCAATAATTAGACACTCCCTATGCTTTCTGGTGGGTGTTGAGCCCCTGTCAGGAATCAGGGACCCCATTGTGCTAGGAGTTCTACAAATACAAAATGAAAAGGTGCTTCTCCCCCCCCTTCCTCCTCCCCCCCCCCATAAAAGAACTCACATTCAAAGACAATGATAAGAGGCAACAGCTGGATCTGCCAGGCAGGAGCTGCAACAGTCAGATGGCTGTGAGGAACAGAGCAAGTAGCAGTCACATTACAGTTACATAAGCCGTGTTTAATTAAATTAAGCGGACATGTATCAGCGCTTTGAGTGCATCTTGCCCTTGGAGAACATGAAAGTGAAACAGAATGCTGACCTAGGAAACAATTTAGAAACCCAGGGATGTTCAGAGTTGGGGTTACATGCACAAACCCCCCAAAACTTGGAACAGCTTAGACCCATGGCTATTTGTTTACTTCTCTGATGTAGAGGGGGAAATAATGGCAGCTCTAAAAAATTAATAAAATATGAACAAATGGAAGAAAAGGGAAATGGATAGTCAGGAATATAAATCAGAAGCTAGGAATTGTAGAACATTGATAAGGGAAGCAAAGAGAACCAAGAAGAAATGTACAGCCAGTAGAGTTAAGGACAGTAAGGAATTTTTAAAGTACATTAGAAACAAAAAACAATTCCCAACAACAGTGTTCATCCCTTACTAAATGGAAATGGTAGAATTATCAATAATTACTCAGAAAAGGCAAACATTTTCAATAAATAGTTCTCTTCTGTGGCGAAAAAACAAATATTGCAGTCATATTTTATTATAGCACTTTCTGTCTAATACTGGTATCTTTGGAGGATGTTAAACAGCAGCTACTAAAGTTAGACATTTTAAAATCAGCACATCCAGAGAACTTGCATGCAAGAGTTTTAAAAGAGCTGGCTGAGAAGCTTGCTGGACTGGTAAAGCTAACTTTTAGCAAGACTTGGAACATTGGAAAAGTTCCAGAATATTGGAAGAAAGCTAATGTACCAACATTTAAAAAGGGTAAATGAGATGACCTGGATAATTATAGGCTTGTGAGTCTGAAGGAGAGTCCAGGCAAGATAAGGGCTTCAATTAATAAAGAATTAAAGGAAGGCAATGTAATTAATGCAACTCGGCATGGGGTTTATGCAGAACAGATCCTGTAAAACTAACTTAATTTTTAAAATTTGATTACAATTTTGTTTGGTAAAGGTAGCCATGTTGATGTCATATATTTAGATTTCACGTGGCGTTGGTACCACATGCCATTTTGATTAAAAACAAGATATAAAATTAACATGGCATGCCTGAAATCAATTCAAAACTGGCTAACAGATCCCAAAATGTAATTGGACATAGAGGTGTGTTTCTAGTGCTGTCCCATGCAGGGACCCATTCTTGGGCCCTGTACTATTTAATATTTCCATCAAAGCCTGGAAGAAAACAAAATGATCACTGCTAATTTTGCAGAGGACAGAAAAAGGTAGGCGTGGTAAATGGGGACCAGGACAGGTCACGGACCCAGAGCGATCTGGATTGTTTGGTGCAGGCGACGCTACAACAATATGCGTTTTAATACGGCAAAACGTAAATGTATCCCTCTAGTACCAAAGACTATTGTACAGCATGGGGGAAGCAGCCAATCTGTAAATATTTGGAGCTGTGGGTGAAGAATCAGCTAAACATGAGCTGTGGGCAAAAGAGCCAATTCAGCCCTGGGATGCATCAAAAGGGGAATCTTGAGTAGGAGATGCAGGGTGGTTTTACTTCGGTGTTTGGCACTGGGGCGATTGCTGCTGGAATCCCGGATCAGTCCCGGTGCCACAATTCAAGGAGGATGCTGATAAATCAGAGAGGGATCAAAGAAGAGCCATGAAAATGATGAAACAATTAGGAAACCTGCCTCACAGCGAGAGACTTACGGGCTCTGGCTATTTAGCTCAGCAAGAAGTGACTTGATCGCAACCTATACATATGTAATCATGGGATCTTCAGTCCAGCAGAGAGAGGTATAGCACTACCCCTAATTAAGACTGGAAATAAGGCGCTCATTTTAAACACCCAGAGTAATTCAGCATTGGAACCACTGACCAAGGCTGCTAGTGGATTCTCCATCACCGACAACTTATCAATCAAAATTGGATTTTTTTTCCCAACGCTCTGGTCTAGGAATTATGTTGCGGCAGTTCAGTTACACAGAGGGGCAGACTAGATAAGCACAGTGGTTCCTTCTTGTCTTGGAATCTCTCTATCTGAGCTCTTTGTCGGCGTGGCTATTGGTATGGGTTGTGGCAATTGCATAAACTAGACACACATTTGCAAGTGCCTTGGAGCATCATCATTAGGCTTCAGAGTTAACACCCAATTGGGGTGAATGGGAGTTTATGCCTCCCAGCACTGCTGTTTTTGGTTCGGAGACTCTGTTCTGTATTGGTTACACTCAGGTCACCGCAGGAAGGTTTCCTTACAGCCGTGAGGGATAGGCACTCAGTGCTTACAGAGGAATAATTAGAACCCATCCTATGGGCCTGATCCAGGGGCTGTGTGCTTGGCATTTCTATAATAGAGGCAGCAGGCATGAATTTCCCTTCTTGAGACCCCCCGAGGGGCAGGGCATATCTC